GGTTTCTTGGCGGTCTTGCCAAAAAAGCCGGGTAAGGGTATGGTGTTGGCGTCAGTGACTGGGGCGTGCTCGTAACGAAGGTAACGACAGTGCTTACAGATGGCTGAGTTGGGGTGGAAGCACGCATGGGTGCAGGGGGTGGGGTGATCGCGGGTGGATGGTCGTTGATTCGGTGGGCGAGTCGGGGAGGACTCGGGCTCCGTTTCCTCTTGCGCGTCCTCGTACATCTCGACGTCATCATCATCTTCTCCCTCTCCTCCTGTTCCCGCAGTATGTCCTGCGCCACCTCCATTAGCGTTTTCCTCATCGTCGTCGTCATCGTCGTCGTCGTCTCCTCTCCCATTCCCTGTCTCATGATCGGCTGCCTCTCTATCACGATTGGCACGGGCTCAGGCGATGGCCTCCTCGGCTCCCATGTCCTGGAGGGCCAAGGCAATGGTGTCTCGTTCCCAATATCCGGCCCCGAGTCGTCTTCTTGCCAGGGAGAGCTCCTGTTTTCGGGCCTCAATGGCGCTGAACTGGGCATCGATCTCAGCCTGGACGCGGCGATAGGCAAGGGCTTGAGCCTGGACATCGCGGTTTGGGACGTGGGCGAGGACGTCGATGAACTGAGTGTCGTTTCGGACTCGGGTGAGGTAGTCGTGAAAATAAAGGGGGAGACGAGGTAGAACGGAGGCGGGGTAGTATGAAGAGTCCGTTGTGCCGGTCTGAGAGGAAGGCTGGGGTCTAGCAGGAGGGTTGTTGAGGGTGTCGGAGTCCGAGTTGTCATCAACGGGGAACCGAGCGGTTCGGACGGGGGAAGGTGGACGAAAGGGTTGAGTGGAGGCCTCGGGTTGAGGCTGGTGGTAAGGGGTTTGGGGGCGAGCTGGCATGAAGGGAGTAGGAGGACGTGGGATGTAAGGGGGTGGCATCTGGTCTTGAGTGGGTTCCTCTGTTTGATGCATGGCGCTCGCGCCATTAGGATCGAGAGGAATGTGAGCGAGATTTATATTATGGGGGGAACGGGGGTTAAAAATGGCACGGCTTATGCTTAGCTGCATGGTCGTGGCTATCCCGTAAAAGGGGTGACAGCCTTGTGCAGTGTTGTCGATGATGACATTGACGAGCTGATTAGCTCGTTCGAGGTCGACGCGAAACTGGTCCCTGGCAATCAGATTGGACCTGACTGGGGCTCGGAAATGGACTGTGTTTCCCCCGATCGGGAATAGGGCGGCTTGGGTGGCTGTGGGGACTTCGTTAAAGGATAGAGAAGGGACCGTACGAACTCCTTCGGCATTGACGCGATACCCTTCTTCATTAATGTGAGTGGCTTGGTGGGGGATATTCGTCCTTTCACGAGTAGGGTAGGCGTAGACTTGCAGACCCGACGCGGCGAGGTCTTGTGTGACGGCGGCGACGTTATGAAGAGGACGGAATGGAATGTTGCGATTGTTGGGGAGGGTAAGTGGAATATTGTAAGGGCGAGCATCGGGAGTGAGATTGGGCTGACCGGCATAAGGGTGAGCGTTGGGGGTCGGATTGGTCTGGCTGTTGGGAGCAGGGTTGGCCTGCGTGTTGGAGGCGGGGTTTGGCTGAGCGTTAGGAGCGGACATGGTGATTGATTTCGAACGAGTTTGAGACTTGGTGGGTAGTCGGCGAGTAGACGTTGACTGGGGAGGAGTGAAACGATGGAATTTTACCCCCCTTCTTATAGTCAACGTTGCCGAGGCCGTGTACGTGTCGTTTTGGCGGGTTTATGGGAATGAGAAGGGGCGTCTGGATGTGCCAAGTAAAAGTCCAGTACCACTTGATCGTCGTCGTGGAATTCTGTGTGAGGTCTCCATTGGTTCTCGCTGTCATCATAGCCTGCATAGTGTACTAAGAAGTGCAAGGCTTGAGAACGAGAACCTTCGAGTCTGCGCCATTTAGTGTCTTGGATCTTGTCGACTTCCCACTCTTCCTCTTCATTTATGACGTCAGGTGGGGGATTTGTAGAATTTGGTCCATGTTCATTGGTCTCATGGTAGGTGTGAGTAAGTT